GTGATGAAATTATCATGTATAAAAACACTTGGAAAATTTCTAAGTCTTGGAAATCTTGATTTTTCAAGTTGACTTTTGACTTTCTTGACTTCTTGATGATTAAGCTTGATATTCTTGAATGTCTTGATGAAATTTGATCTTTGAAATGTAATGTTGACCAAAAAATCAAAGCTTGACTTTCAAGTATGCAATTGACCATTTTGCCCTTGTGCCAATTTCAAGCTTAAATTGATGTATCAGTGCTGTAAATTTGACGTCTTAGAATATCTTGTGAGCAAATACTTGACAAATGAGAAGACAAATTTTGGGATACAACACTATCGTTATCCCATCGTGATTTACATGGTTGTGCCTAAGATAGTTTAATTATATCTATATGATTCTTTCTAAACATTTCTTTACCTAGAAGTATTACCCATAACTACTTCAATTTAAAGTATTAGCATATATGCCTTATTTAATAGAGATTAAAACATCTAGTTTGTCTTTATAGTAATTTTAAAATTTGAGGTTTATTAGATAAATTTGATCCCAAAATACATGAACGCATTTTTATAGTAGCGCCTAAAGAAAATTAAGTGATACTAATTTTATATAACTTTTTAAGACAAAAGGTTTTATTGGATTTACAACTATAGTATTAACCAAGAAGGGATTCATCTCTAATGAAGCCAATAATGTTTGGACAAATTCAAAATACTGGAAAATTTATATCTTTTTGAGAGGGAAAACTTATACGATTCCATAAATAATTGTTATTAAACCACTAGTTTAAGTAGCACAAAATTAAGATAAGTTAGATAGGTAACCTCACAAGGATGAGATGCATGGTTTCATCACGACTTGTTAACTTGATATAATGCATATAGAAGATCATCCATTGTCTTACACATAGGTTTTAAATAACCTACACTACTAAAAATAAAATTTTCCGCGAATTTACCTGCGGATTTGAAAAAAAACTCTGCAGGAAACATCTAAATAAAACCTTCTGGATAATATTTTCTGTAGGAAGATTCGCAGAAAAAATCCACATGTAAATTTACAGGAAACTATCCGTGAATAAATCTGCAGGAAAAGTCTGCAGGTAAATCCACAACAAATGTAAATCTGCTGGTAAATCTGTAGAAAATATCTATCTCAAATTAATTTAATTTTTTTACTTTTTAAATATTATAAATTATAAATTAAAATAACTATAATATAAAAATAAAAATTTAATTTAAAATATTTTGAATTTAAATGAGACAAATTCATAGACCAATAAATTAGTATAAAAGTTGCTACAAAGTTTGTAACAAGTTCTTACATAGTCACATTACTAAAAATGACTCAAAACAACCAAGCTACTAATATTGCTTTTTCCACCCAACTTAAAAAGATAAAACTATCCAAATTATAACCAAGTCAACAATAAAAACAATACAAATCAGAATTCATTACTAAGGTCTTCTTCATCTGATTCTTCAACGTCATCTTCATTTGTTTGATCACTTTCATTAGTGGATTGTGGTGGATGAGAAGATGACCCAACAAATCCCAAATGATTCATTAAAAATGAAATTTTATTATTCGTTTTGATCATCTCTTTTTCTTGTCGATGCAATTGTTGCCTCATCTCTAGCTTCTCTTGTTCTTGTCTTTGCAACGATGCACTTAAAGCATGAACTTGACTTAGTAACAACCTCTTGAGAGTCACTTGAAACACATGAAGGTTTATTTGATAATGAAACCAAAGTCTTGGAAACGGTTCCAAGATCAAATATCCTCCCTTTCTTCTTTTCAACCGACTCTACCCATATATCTAAATCAGGTGGAACTCTAATAGTTGGTTGACTATTACACTACTAAAAAAAAGACATTTGAGAAAAGGTTTTTACATCGGGTATCAAAATATATGATGTAAAAAATACAATTAACAAACTTTTTACATCAGGTATTTATTTGCAATGATATAAAAAATATGAAAAAAAATATATTTCGCTACCTATTACATCGGGCAAACGCATCCACCGATGTAAAAAGTTTTCAGAAAAAAATACGGTGGCATTTTTGTAAATAAGAAACAAGATAGTAGAAATATTAATAAAAAACATGCAACATATTACATCAGTTGACTAAAAACCGATGTAATATCTTCACAACAGATATTAATATAAAAAATAAATTAAAGAATAAATTAATTTTTTCGCAACTTATTACATCGGTGGAAGTTTAAACCGATGTAAAAAAGTCAGAAAAAAAGCTTGCATCGGGTATTACGATGCACCGATGTAATAGGTGCAAAACCCTTACATCGGTTGTAAGGATCCACCGATGTAATAGGTTGTCCACTAAGCCAACCCTTACATCGGGCATTACGATGCACCGATGTAATAGGTGCCAAACCCTTATTTCCCAAACAGTAGAAAAATTACAACTCCATCGTCATTCGCCCTATTCTGAAAAACAAGAGAAGAGGAAATCTGCAAGCCCACCCGATTCCGATTGCCAACCGTCTTCATCACCATCACCACGACTGCCTTATAACACCGCCACCAACATCGCTTCCATGACAGAACCGTGTCACCCACAACCTCCTCACCGCAACTGACGGACCACCGCGAGTTCACTGCATGACACCTCCGTCGCCGTCAACCTCCTCGCCGCAACTGACGGACCACCGCAACTGATGGTAAAACCCCGTTTCGGCCGCCGTTTCCGGTCATCCTCTTCGACCGCCGTTTCCGGTCGTCCTCTTCGACCGCTGTGGTTTTCGTTCGTGTTTCCGCCGTTTCTGGTCATCGTCTTCGACCGTGGTGGTTCTGCTCGTTCGTGTTTCATCGTTTTCGACCGCCATTGATGATGATTTTTGTTGTGAATTTGCAGATTTGTTTGATGAACATAGATGACGCGGTTTGTTGAAATTTGATTACGTCTCCTTGCCACCGTTTCACGTTGTTCACTTTGTTCACGCCGTTCACGACTTTTCACCGGCCGATTCACGCCCTTCCTCGCTCGCCATTTCAACTGTAAGTCACATTCTTCACTTATTTGATCCATAATGTTATTGATGCAATGTTTGTTCTCTTGATTTAAGTTAATACCTTATGTTAACACTAGGTAGAAATTCATTTCAAGCGCTTTAACTTGAACAATTTTCTTTGAGAAACTTTATTTGTTGAGTTAAAAAAGCAACAATATCTTTAAGAGAAGATAAGGTGTTATGCATTGTGAAACCATGGCCGAAAATATTGGAAAACATACCCCATATTGTCCTAATTGTGCCACGAGATCAAATTATTATTAACCAATTTATTTATACATTATGCAACTTATAAAAATAGTACTCTTTTTGTCCTAAAAAAAATATCTAGTATTCATTCGTTGATCGATTACTTTCAAGTTACAAAACTATTAATATATTGAACTAACGAATTAAAAAACACGAAAAAAAGAGGAGGGAGTGTAAATTGTGATTATAAAAGGTTTTTAGAAAGCACAAGTATTCTCCTTGAGCAATTATTTGTCAAAACTGGGTTCACTATTATGCCAAAGTATAATAGTTAGCTTCATTGGCTATAACACATTACTTAGATAAATAACTTTTTCGGCATTAAGTATACATCTGTCAAATTTAATAACTTAGCTTCATTGGCTCTACGAATATTTATGGACATTCATATGAAACCATAGGGACATCTTATTCAAAACAAACTCTGTTGAAATTTGAGACCCACATGCCAAACTATAGACATATTAATGGACATTCAAATGAAACCATTTTTCATGTCATTTCTACTTTAATAAAGCCTACCGTTATCAAACAATTTCCTCTGTCATTTCTAATGAAACATTATTCTACTGTAATGAAAAAAGAAAGGACCAAAATAAATTATTTCAACATCACAATATTTATATGTTGCGTCCTTTTAGTATTATAATAATAATTTACAGCCAAATCTTATTTCCTTTATTCTAACTACAAATATCACAAAACTTGACATAATGATTTTAAAAATATAACTTGACAATTTGATGATGTTTGAAATAGTTCAAAGTCACCCTTACATATTGCATATGAATGTTGTATGTTGCACTCCTCAATATTTCCATCAACTTGATAAGTAGCACCTTTTTTCTCAATAAAAAGTTTTGTAGACTTGAGTTTCAAGTTTTGAAATCTTAATAGAGTTATCACCTTGCCATTGAAATTTGATTATATTTTGCTTTCTCCGCGAAGCAGCGCAACTTGCAATCTCGGAATCTCCGTGAAGTAGCGCAGCCGCGGGCACACTGTTCGTCAGACCTTCCTCCGTGTGAACATAGTTATGGATCGTAGTTGGATGAGAGCTAATCGATTAAGTGATGAGTACGAACATGGAGTGATGGAATTTCTACAGTTTGCTGAAAGTAATGCTGACAAAAGTCTTCCTACGCTTTTTCTCTGTCCATGTGTTCGTTGTGCAAATAAAGAACCAAAACGTAGTAAGAAAGAAATCATGGATCATCTAATTTGTGTAGGGATTTGTCAAAGTTATACAAAATGGATATGGCACGGTGAAGTAGTAGCAAAGTCAAACGTGTCTCAAATAGATGATGTTAGTGTAGAAATGGATGATCGTCTAGAAGACATGTTGCGTGATATTGGACAAGATTCTTTTAAGAGGGCACATGCGTATGATACTTTATGCAATGACAAAGATAAACCATTGTACACGGGATGCAAAAAATTTACACGTCTGTCAGCCGTGTTAAAATTATTTAATCTGAAGGCAAAGAATGGGTGGACTGACAAAAGTTTTACCGAGTTGCTTGAATTGTTGACCGAAATGCTTCCAGAAGGTAATGTAATGCCAAGTCGTTATTACGAGGCAAAGAAAATATTGTGTCCGATGGGTTTGGAGTATGAAAAGATACATGCATGCCCTAATGATTGCATATTATACAGAAAAGAGTATGAAAAGTATAATCATTGTCCAAAATGCAAGGCTTCACGCTACAAAAAGAAAGATGGTGAATCAATTGATGATGAGGTGGTCAAAAAGGGTCCTCCTGTGAAAGTCGTATGGTACCTACCAATAATTTCAAGGTTCAAGAGATTATTCGCCAATGCAGATGACGCAAAGAATCTTAGATGGCATGCAGAAGAAAGAAAATATGATGGACAAATTCTTCATGTAGCCGATTCTTTGCAATGGAAGAAAATAGGTTCTTTGTTTCCAAATTTTGGCAAAGAGTCGAGAAACCTTAGACTTGTACTTGCTACTGATGGAATGAATCCGTTTGGTAATCTGAGTATTTGGTAATCTGAGTACTAACCATAGTTCTTGGCTTGTTCTCTTGATGATTTACAACCTATCTCCTAGGCTGTGCATGAAGCGTAAATATATTATGTTATCGATGATGATATCGGGCCCAAAACAACCAGGAAATGACATAGACGTTTATCTAAGTCCACTGATTGATGATTTAAGAGTGTTGTGGGAGGAAGGGGTGGATGTTTTTTATGCGTATTCTGGTGAATAGTTCAATATGCGTGCCATGTTGTTTTGCACCATCAACGATTTTCCGGCGTATATTTAGTGATTAATTACTTGTTTGAGTTTATAATAGGAAAAAAGTCAGAAGGGTAAGGATAATGTGGCCAAGAATGTATACCCACACATATTGTCTCGTGGAGGGTATCGCTTACTTGAGGAGAAAATTATGAAAGAAAAGTCATCATCGAGAGATAATTCCACATTAGATGATAATGATAGTCCATCTCCACCATCACGACGTGAGTTATGGAAGAGAGCACGACAAAAGAAAGGAGGAGAATACACATCAAAATCTACACAAGAGGTTGCTGAAAAAATTGTAAGTAAACAACGAAAAATTATTCAAGTATCATTATATTTGTGATTGATTAATTGATGTTTTTGCATTTTGTAGGATTCTCTAGTTCAAGAAGCTGAAAAAGGTGCAATTGTTTCGGATGGACGTAACGATATCTAATCATTAGCCATTGGAACATCTGAGCATGAAGGTCGTGTTCGTGGTGTTGGAAAACACCATAAACAAAGCACTTACTTTGGAAGATCACGTCAACATATCGACGTAAATGAACAACTTGTAATATTGGAAACAAAACTTAGAGCTGAACTTGAAGAAAAGTTGGTTGAAGAGCGTAAGATGTTTCAACAATCATTAATGGAGACACTTAAGTCCATGGGTTTATCACAAAGCACAGGTGATAATAAATGCATTGAAAAATTGGAAATTATTGATGGAAGCGGAAAAGGAAGTTGTTCAGCTGCAAAGGGAAGCACAAAAGAGAGCACAAAAGACGTGGAAGTTGATGATGTTCAGATATTGTTACTCATGGTTTTGAAAATGGATGATAACCATTTGGCAATACAATTAAGTCAGTGTGCGAGTGTCTCTAATTTCTATGTTTCAGCTAAATGTATCAGAGAGTTATTGGTGGGTTTAGGTCATTGGCTTGACGTGTCTATTCTGCAAATTTGGTGCACGTAAGTACATTTTATTGTTTTATTAAAGTCAATTTATATTAATATGTCATATCTCTCATCACTTTGATTGTAATGTTTATTTTAAAATTATTCAGGTATATTCATCGTGTTTGTCTTGAGAATTCCATTTCCGAATTATATGGATTTATGGACCCTGCTAGGTGTATTTATAATGATAGTGTAGCGAAATCTCAAGAAGATGTTAAAAATTACGTACTACAAAAGTTACGTGATGAAAACAGAGTGTGTCACTTACTACCATTAATTCATGGGTAAGTATTTATATATAATTGTGTTTTATATTATTTAATTTTGATAACATATATATTTTATGTGACTTTTCTGTTTCCACACACACGTACAGGAGACATTGGCAATTAATAGTCATGTGTCCAAGAGACAATTTAGTTGTCGTATTTTGTTCACTTCATCGAGAAATTGACCATCACACGAAGAAAATTATTACAAAGTAAGTTTATCTTTCATGTGACTTTCATTGACAACTAATAGTTATGTCATTTTTCATCGACGAGTAAATTTAGCTATGTGATATTTATCTTTCTGTATTAGTTCTTTTGGGATTCATCAAATGGCAAATGGAAATAGAAAAAAGGCTACATGGCTTCATCCCAATGTAAGTGTGATGTAAATTGTAATTATATGGTTAAATTTATGATAAGTATTCACTAATTATGTCATTCAATTGTAGACAAGGCAACAACATAACTCTAATGATTGTGGATACTATGTGATGAAAAATATGTTGGATATTGTCTCTGCTAATATAACCGAGAATTGGATGCAGGTACTAAAAATAACTTTACTTTGTTATTTACTTTTTATTTTTTGACTTAATATGAATTTTTAAAAATTAACTCTATATTGTTATATTTATGTATTATAGGTATTTGATGACCCAACAGAATTAACACAAGATGATTTGTATGATTTGCGACTTCGTTGGGCAAAATGTTTCTTTGAGTTACATGAAAATTAAGTTTATCTTGGTGAGTTTTATAGAATTGTATAAGTTGTGGTTTTTGCACAATACATATGGTTTTTGCACATTTATTGAGTTTCTTGATATTTTTGCTGATGTTAATTGTTATTATTTATTGTCAGGCAATGTGATTTTGGTGTTGTCTACCGAAGATTTTATATTGGTAATTTAAGTTTGGAAACTTATAAATAGTTGAATATTTTTGTATATTTTGTGAATAATATGTAATTGTAAGTTTTGAAAAAAGACTTATAAATAGTTGAATATTGTTGTATATTTTGTGAAGAATTTGTAATTGTAAGTTTGTTTGTTGTAATACAATACAAGTTTGCAATACAATTGTTCAATTTGTAAGTTTGTTGTGAAAAATATGAAAACATCGACCTAGATGTGATATATGTGATGTTGGAAAGCTATGAAATCTATATAGCGACATAAATATAGTCTGTGTGATATTGGAAAAATATGAAAAAATGGGTACAAATTATATTTGTACAGGGAAACATCCAGAAAATAAATAATCTATTCCAAAAAAATTTCATACATTTTACATCGGTTATTAGTAAAAACTGATGTAAAAACTTTCAAAAAGGGACTTTTTACATCGGTTGGGGATAATAACCGATGTAAAAAGTCGCGTCACTGGGGACTTTTTACATCGGGTATTACTTCCAATCGATGTAAAAAACTGGATCAATTTTTTAAAAATATGTACATAATAACTGTTTCTTACATCGGTTCATATATTATAACCGATATAAAAAGGGACTTTTTACATCGGGTATTACTTCCAACCGGTGTAAAAAACTGGATCAATTTTTAAAAAAATGTGCATAATAACAGTTTATTACATCGGTTCTTATATTATAACCGATGTAAAAAAGAGACTTTTTACATCGGTCCCAGAACCGATGTAAAAAGTCCCTGATTTACTATATCGACTGACTTTACATCGGACTCAGAACCGATGTAAAAAGTCACTTTCTCCTAGAATAGTTGGATTTTGAGAAGAAATCTCCAACTTTTTCCGTTCAAATTTATAAAAGAAAATTTAAAAACTAGTAAGGAATTAAATTCAATAAAAGTGATACTTTCAAAAGACTTGTGTGGAAATTTAAAACCCAATCAAATTAAAACATTCCAAAGTACTCACATATGCGGATTCAGCATGAACTTCAACCCAACTTTGATCCTTTTTTCGATGTGTGTGAAAATAGAACTCCGTCAATGATGGATCTACACCCTTTTCCTTTTTCTAAAATTACAAAAGAAACAAGAAACAATATCATTTATTATAGATACTAATTTGAGAAATTTAATGAAAAACTTATAATACTTACTATTCTTTTCCAATGCAAACGCTGAGGAATAGATCCTCCAGTGTGAAGAGATGCACCACCCATATAACACTGATTCCTTTTATTTATTTGAGATGTTTTCCTGAACTTGGAAGAATTCCAATGTATCGATAATTGCTTCCACACATCATCTCTCATCCAACCCGATTTGTCTGTTAAGTTTTTGCGAACATCTTGCATTAGTTGAGACATCATAGTCGCACCTTTTTTTAAAAGTTACGTCGCACCATAACCTTATGTTTTGATAGTTATGTAAACTTTTTCTATATCAAAATAATTAATATATGATCGGGTCAAAATCATTCATCAATGATTCTAATCAAGAGGAATAAAGCAAGTGAAGGTATATAATCAATTTAAAATTAAAAACAAGTAATACCAATATCTTTATCTTCCACCTCAAATGGTTTATTATTATTCTCCTAATGAGATAAAAAAGTGTCACAATCAGTGAATGATCCACAGCAACATGCTTAACACACAGTTGTTTTTGTACTAAGGCGGAGAGGGTTCTTCTGTACCATATTATAATACGGCAAGAAATAGGAAAACACACTAGAAACATCTGACACTATGTGAAATTACAACGTTTTCTACTTGACCATTGTTTTGAAGTGCGTTACCCAGTTTTGCATCCAATAAAAATAACTACATACTATGGCAACTACTGTTCTTTCACACACTACAAAAAATATTCTCATTTGTAACATGAGTTTTACGTCATAACATGAAAAAACACGTCACTATAAATTATTTGCAATATGTCCGTTCACGTAGATGGAGAGGGGGTGACAAATAGTTTGCAACGTGATTTTCATGTCACAAAGTTGTGATGTGAAAATCACGCCGCAACAAACTTTTATAGAAAATACATTACAGAAAAAGCAGGTGCAACATGTTAAAGAAACTTTAGTTGCGATGTGTTTTTCACGTTATAAATTAGTGACGTGAAAAACATATCATTAAATAATTACAGTTAATATCTCTTACGCATTCAGCTTTTGTTTTTTTTTAATATAAAAATGAAGTTGCGACTGATTTTCATGTCACAACTTGTGACGTGAAAATCACGTCACTAATGTTTTTTTTATTTAATAATTAAATTTATTTTTCTTTTATATAAATTCAATTATAATAAATTAAAATAATAAATTCAATATAAAATAAATTCAATATATTAGATTTAATATAATAAAATTAATAAATTAAAATTATAAATTTAAAAATTAATTAGTATGGTATACAAATTTAAATTTGAAAGTAAAATATAAAAAATTTAAGTTTACGGGTCATCTTGGTTGGTATAGTTGTCAATATCAAAATTATCTTTGTTTCCGTCATCCTCCGGCTCTTGACCACGAAAATTTAGATTTCCGCCAAACTCTTGCATAAATTGTCTAATTTGTTGCTCCATATCAGCTTGCCTCTTCGCCATGACCTCCATTTGTCGTTGTTGCTCTTGCCTCAATACCTCCATTTGGGCTTTCATTGTCGCCTCACGTTACGCTGACTCGCGTCTCGCCTCATTTAGCGTCAATTGTCTTACCATTTCAAGTAGTTATGGTGTCAAATTTGGTTGACGTGATCCCCCTTCCTCATCTCTCTCTTTGAAATAGAGTTCTATCATCACTTCTCAAGGTGCCCGCCAAATTTCCACCAACAAAAAAACAACCATTAGGGCCTTTTTCGCCAATGACTTAATTGCAAATATAAAAGTCCACATTTGGATGAAGCGACTCTCCCTCTCCCGGAATATATTGAGGATTATGACTCAGAAAATTTGCGAGCAATGTCTTATAATCCTCCTATACATTCAATAAAAAAATTAAGTTAAATGTTTAATAAATTAAATTAAATTAAATTAAATTAAATTTAAAAAATTGTCACGTGATTTTCACGCCACGACTTCTCAATTGCCATGTGATTTTCATGTCACAGTTTCTCAGTTGCCACTTGAAAATCACGACACAAAATTGTCATTAAATAACTTACGAAAGCTTTTAGAGTGTATTCGTCAATAAAATCCTCGACTTTCATTGTCCGAGTCTTTTTAACCAACTCAATCACCAATGAAGGTCTCCCCAAATCCTGGTCTAAACAATAAAATTAACAGTAATTAATAAAATATGAATCAAAATATAACTTAAAAAGTGGTAATATTTACCATGCGTCAAACATGCTCTGCGGTACTTATACTTCCAACTGCATTAACGCAATCCCCTTTTTCAGATGCCCTCATCTTCTTAAATTTTTTGGATTTAACCCGAAATTCGGGTGACTCCCAATTTTAAGAAGTTTCTTAAAAACCTCTTTCCCTATCAAATTGGGACGAATACCCTGAAGTTTGCAACTCTCTCTAACATGATACATTATGTCAGAAATAATTACTATATTGTAAAAATATATTGTTAATAATAATTAATATATATATATATATATATATATATATATATATATATATATATATATATATATATATATATATATATATATATATATATATATATATATATATATATATATATATATATATATATATATATATATATATATATATATATATATATATATATATATATATATATATATATATATATATATATATATATATATATATATATATATATATATATATATATATATATATATATATATATATATATATATATATATATAATTAAATAACATAAATACCTATTCTTCAATATCCTTCGACTTCTTATATAACTCTTTTGTTGAATCTTCATTTTAATCTCTTTAATTTCTTGATAAAAAAACATAAATCAATATATCATAAAACATAATTAATCTAAAACGAAAATATTAAAAATAAATTGAATAAATATTATACCTTTGTTACAAAATAAATTTAGAATCGATGATGGAATTTGGAATTGATTATGGAAGAATGGAAGAATATAGAAGAGGAAAAGAAGAAAATAGAAGAGAAAAAGAAGAAAAGAGAGAGAATGAAGAAACACATTAGTTTCTGAAAGAGAAGGTGCATGTTTATTAGTCAATCAGCAACGTGAACATCACGTCGCAACATTGCAACGTGATATTCATGTCGCAACACTCAATGTTATAATTTTAATATTAGCCAATCAGCGACGTGAATATCACAACGTCGCAACCTTATCACATGATATTCACGTCACAACCTCTCCAACGATAATATTTTTACAGTCAACCTGCACGTTTCACAATGACATCTAATCAAAGATAAGGTTTTTTCTCTCTAAAATAGTTGCGACATGTTTAATACGTCACAACAAATTTTTTTTGAAATATTTAAACTTCCCTCTTCAAAACGCCTCAAGCTTTAACATTTTTTTATTCTACTTTTTATGTCGTGACGTGTTTTCCACGTCGCAATTTTTTTATATAAAAGAAAATAATGACTAACGCAAACCATGTCTTACTTTTATCATTTAAATTATAAAATAATTTAGTGACATGATTATTACGTCTCAACTACTAAATTTTAGTGACATGATAATCACATCACTAAATTACATCACTGAAGAGTATATTTTTTATAGTGACAATTATCCATGTAAAAAAGTGGCTTATTTGACTCTTAATAGCACTTCTCTTTTAACAACCTTTTCTTGATAAATGTTAATAGTTTAAGGAAAGGAATTAACCTTTACTAAATTTCTATAAAAAAGAGATGCAACATAATGTGAGTTAGAATTATATTAGTCAATATTTAGATTTAATTATCTGAAATAAGTCAAAGAAATAATCTTGTTTATCATTTGTTTTAATAGTTGATTTACATAATCAGGGAAATAGTAACCTACTAGTTATCTGGTAAGCAACAATGAGAAACTATGATAAATATTAATGATCCCATTTTTTTGTTGTTGTTTAAATAATATCTTTCAGCAACAAACTGGTGAATGACAAATAACTTCTTTTACACGTGATACTTACCCTGAGCATTATTTCAACTATGTACCAAATGCAGAATTCAACTACTCATCTAATAAAATCAAAAAAGGAACCAAGGGAAATGTTACTGTCTTAAACCCAACCCTTTTGACAGCAGTACCGGCTATTATTGATCCTATTGGAGATTCAGTGTTCTAATTTTACTATCATAATGCATTTCTAGTGGGTAGGCCTATTTATTTTATCTTCAAAATAAATATATTGTTCAAAACAATTATATTTAAGACAGTTGCAGTAATGTATAACTCAGAGGTTTGTTGGATCTAGTTAGATCTAGTTACTTATTTTTGAGAGATGCTGGTCGGTCACCATTTTCACTATATTTATGTTACTTGTCCGAGGACAATCCATGTATTTTGCATCACCTTGTGTCGTATTTTCTTATCGTTTGATTCATTTTGATGTTTATTTAGTTTCTTCTGTATTTTATAATTTTTAGTTTATTTTGAATATTTGTGCGTGTTATGCTTGGTTGGTTGTTGTGACTGTTCCAGGTACAGATAAAGAATCCAAAGTATTCGGTGCGCGAAAGTCAGATAATTGAAAATTTCACGTATGAAATTTGGAAGTTTCAGGAGGCCTGACACGGTCACCGTGTCACCTGACACGGGCTGTATCAGGAGAGAAGCTATGGAGAAGGAGGCACTTCAGGGAGCTGACACGGCCACCCGTGTCACCTGACACGGGCCGTGTCAGCAGATATAATGATTTAATTGTTGCTGAAGCTTCAAGATGACTAACACGGCCACCCGTTTCAGCTGACACGGGCAGTGTTGGCAATTGCGCTGATTTGACTTATTTTCGTGATTTTTCATCAAGTCTGACCCGGAAGGGCGTTTTTTACTTTTCGGACCAGAACCAAGAGTTTTGCACTATTTGAGACAGTTTCTACAACAAAAGAAATAACCTTTTTTGCACACGAAGAATTTGGACACTTGAAGATTGAAGTTTTATGTAATTGTGGGAGACGAAGACTTTCATGAGCGGAAGCAATTGAAATCAAAGACAACCATCAATTTCTATTGTCTATCTTTATTGTATCTGAAATTATTTTGAACAATATTACGAGTAGCTAAACCCCCCAATCCTAGGGGGTGTTCCTGTTTACCTTTGTAATGAATATGAATTCTTGATTGCAATACAATAGTTTCTTTTCAATTTAATCATTCATGTGTTTAATGTTTTCCTGATCTGACCTATTAGGATCGACTTGCGATTAATAATTAGGGCTGGAC